CATTTCTTGAAATTTATATCTGCCCTGTGATTCAAGGATACTCGTGGCAATGTGGCCGAGTGGTTAACGTTTCAAGCTCACCTTCTGTACTGTCACGGTTCGACAACCGCTGGGGTGTCGATAAGACTGTGAGGTCGAAACTGCAGCTCACCCTTGATGATAAATTTTGAGAAAGTAAAGTTATGTGAACTTCAATGGAAACGTCAGCTCTATTCATATCATCGTGGGAAAATTCTACTACCAATCCTTTATCACCTTAAAGGAAATAGGGTAAATACATATCCTATTACTGGTGGTCTTGAAACTTTACTTACATACGAAACTATATTATTTTATATGCGTAATGACTACGTTTTATACCTTCAGTAGATTTTTATTGATAATTCTTGTTACTCTATGTTTTACATTTCCATTTACTTTCGTTTACCCTTGTCTCCCAGAAGGTTTTCTTATTTAAAGTGAATTGCTGATTTTTTCTTTCCTAGATCTTATCAGAGCACTCTATAGGCTTCTAAATTACGTCGTTAGCCTAAAGTAGAACTATTAGGTGGGAGCGTGTTATAAAAGCACAGCTCTATAAGCTATGAAAAAAGAAAGGAATGATGTTCCAATCTTTGATTTAAATTGGTCTAGTTTGCCTTTACTTGTTAACCTGACACGAGTTCTAGCTTGATGCTAAAATTGTTGCTTCTCAATTACTGTTCCTTCGAAACCTCTGGGAATGTACCCGTTCATCGATCAGATACTGACAGAACACATGCCATCTATGGCAGAGGACACAATCGAAGAGGTGTTTTTTCTTAAGTCCCTCTAAAATCACTATGAAACTGCTCAAACGGAGCAAAACCAACTTTTTTCATCTTATTTGGATTTTCTTCTCTGTTCTCCATTCCTTCATATTTTCCTCTTATTTAGGTACCCTACATGACGGAGATACAATCTCGGTTGGCCTACATCTCTTGTGTTCGATTGATGGAAGCAATTAAAGCCAGTGGTATTTGTCACGTACTTCGACCACCCATTGACCAATATTTTACTCTACAGTTTGGTCTATTTGAGGAGATCCTGGTAAAATTGTTCATTGTTTAAGCATTCTTGCTAATAGTAGTTCTAACCAAACCTTGTTCCCACAAGGTTCTTTTGGTTATTCATGCTAGAATGGTTGTAAATTGCCGTTGTGCCCATTTGTCTATGGAAATGAAAAGTCATATATATTCGATGCTTGTTTATCTTTGTAGCCTCTTATAATCAAAATTCCTTTATGGGAATTTAACCCTTATGCGATAAGTGCGTTTTTGCTATAGTTTTACCGAATGTTTAAATCATGTTTTATAAATCTTTTAATGTAGCATTTACTTTCACTTTTTTTCTCGAATACTGCTTTTCATTGAGCCATAAAATGAGAACTAGGAGACCACAAAATATGAATGGCAGGGTATATGAGGTGTAATTGCTTAACCTAATTTGGGTTGCGGTGACGTTCGAAGCAAAAGTCGCATGTACTAACATTGTGTAGGTATAACCCAATTAACATGTGTGCTCTTTAGACTAATTATTTGGGGTATCCAAGCAAATTTGCCCTATATGGATTGTTAATTTACGTCTAAATTCTCAAAGTTAGGCTTCTCACTACATAGGCCGAATGCTTTTCCCAGACGATTTCCTTGACCGAAAAGCCAGTGATTAGCTAGGAATCACACAAGAAATATTTGTATCTGTTGATTATCTTACATTCCTATATTAGGTCTATTATAATGACTCCTTAAGACTTCTTGATGACTGCTTATATAACCGCTTGTAGATGCATCCGTAGTTTTAATTGCTTATGTTTCGAGGATCTGAATGACTCAAAGTATCAAAGCTATTTCATACATTCATTTTTACACTAGTAAACAAATCATAAAGGAGATTCATTTTCAGTTCTCCTTTTACTTGGTTTATTATTTTTTCCAGCTAACAATGGTTTATATTTTCTGCCACTTATAAGATTTGATCTGAAGAAAGATTGACTGATTTTATTCCTTCGTTTAAGAGACTTCAATGACACTAGTCTTCGCTTTCAACCAAAAATTATATGATATTCACAGGTAATCATTAAAATTTTAGAGGTGTGACATTTTATCGAATATGTCTAGCGAATCTATATTTACGTCAAACCCTGTAAGCATATCCTATAATAGTTGTGGGTGGTTTTCTAGCTTTACCAGTGAGAACCTTGCTATATTTATCTATTTTCAGACCGTCGGGTATGAATACACCAAATCTGTACTTGCAGATTGGAACAAGGAGAGCCTACTTTTGCGCCTCATTCCCGGGCATCAGCCATCTCTGAATCAGCCATTGAAAGAGCCAGATCCCTTACCCCAAACCAGCATACTTACTGCCTCCACTTCATCCAGCGTCCATCCTTGTCCGGCATTCTTCACCTCTCAGTCTGTGGATACATCTAATATCGTCGGCCTTGAGTGTACTTCTAAAAACGCTCTTAAGTTGGACTCCACAGACTCTAACAAGCTCAAGTCAATTTCTCTGGTTGCCTATAGCTATCCCTCACAGCTCGCATGCACACCATTAGAAAAA